GCCTCAGCTGTGATCGAGTGAGAATGAGACGAATATTTCACCGCTACAGGAGCACGCTGTGCCAGCTCACGTGTGCAATATGTAACCACCATATTGAGTGTAGCTATGTTGGACGGTTGTTATCTCATGATTAGGTAAAACCTTTGAACGCAAATAAACGACGCGGGGACAAAAGAAAAAACACACGCCACGAGCGCTTGCGGTGTGTGTTTGTCTCCATTGTTCCTTGTAGTTTATTTGTGTTCAAATATTTTACTCCACCATGTAGAAATTTTTCCGGGTCCTCCTTTGATACAGTTTCAATGTATAGATGTACACTGAATTGCATCCCATTAGCGTAGGGTCATGAATAACTGTAGCCACCGGCATTGCTTCGTCGGGTTGAGCAATCATTGCAGCTGAGTGCTGGTACCCTTATCACCGATGGGAGCTCTCGACAGGACCGATGATATCTCTACGATGACAGCTTGTACGAAATATTGGCGTCCTTCGCCGTATTGTCGCCGCTTCGGATGATCGACGATATCGTCCCCGCTTACTCAATCGCCATACCTTCGAGTGGTCAGTGTTATATGCGGTCTGAGCGTGCAGCGCTATAACAATCGGGATACATCGAAGAGATAAGAAACGCGGAGATACTGTCGACACCGAGTGGTGAAGATTGCGATGTTCGCGCTTGGCTTCTCAAGCGCTTTCTATAGTCGAATAAGGAGGGATCTTGCGCAAGGCTTGGCATATTGCCCTTGCTTTTTCTTTCTTTTTTTCTTTTTTTTTACCTTACGATAGGGCGGGCAGGCAGGCTTTGACTTGCCACCAGCAGACGCTATTTTTTAAAAGAGAAATGCCTTATATATATACTTCGCCAGCAGAAGAGCAAATGATGTATACTGTGGCGTCATGAACATGAATGATATTGACTTTCAAGCGATGGTAAATACAGATGTAGTGATATATGTTTATGAGTATCAATAAAGGGAACATAAAGGGAATATCTAGCGCGCGATCGAGACAGCATCAATTATGGCAAAACGGAACGTACAAATACACATAGGACAGGCGCACCTTCGAAGTTCCTATTCTCGTACACTCAAAGTATTGATTCGTTCAGCGCCCTGTTTCTTTTGAGCACGACAGCACCACCGCCGAAATCGGCAACTCAGAACGAGCTTCGGTTAAAAACGCGTCCTGCCTTATATTTCAGGCCAGGAACTAATGTGATTCCGGTGGCGTTGTGCCTGTGGTACACCGCGAGGCGCCACATAACGTGAGGACCAGTTGAGGTGTCAATTCAGGTTTCTTCGTGCTTCACTGAATTTCACGCGCGTTTGTACGTACATCACAAGAACTCTCATGTAGCGTTCAAGGTGGCATCTCCTGAGGCGCGGGAAAGGACGAGCCCGAATTATGCATGAAATCTTTGCTTCGTTTAGATGCCAACTTTGTGTTATGACTGTTGCAGTTTTAATGTGTCTGTACACTTCTCGGGTCGCCGCTCAAGGTCGCCGCTGCGGTCGCCTCTCCAGTGATTCTAACAATGCTCACTTGATGGCGCGTCCCCACCCAAGGCGTAAAAGTCGTTGATTTTCGATGGCCCACCCGCTGGCCTCGTAGCGACTACGTCCACTTCGTTTTCGCCACTTCCTGGGAATGGCAGCACTATAAAAATCCCTACAATGAACGGGTACCGATATTCTTACAAGCTCCCTCACCTGCCTGCACTCAACCCCGCTGAATAACGGCTGGAAGCTCCACGTATGTCGTTTCTGAGCGTTAGACATTTGATTCATGGTTTCAGCCAGCATGGCATAAATGGGCAGATTGTTAACGGGCCGATTGACGCGAGAGAGAAGAACAAGAGGGAAAGGAAAGGCAGGGATGTCAACCAGTCTGGAACGACCGGTATGCTACCCTACACTGGGGATAGGGATTTGGGAGTTTAAAAGATGGAAAAAGAGAGAGAGAGGGGAGCATGCACACGCGTTGGGCTCACAAATGCTGATGACTTCAAACACGTTCACGCGCACTAACTGAAGAAAGTCCGAAAAGACGCGGTTTTAGTCCACTGGCATTCCACTGAGTGATGGATGCTTCCTTGACTTCTCAAAAATGATGGCGATTGTTAGCCATATTTCTACTCGAGCGATTCAAGTACTGGGCTTAAGGCGTCCAGCACCTTCAGAGCGCTTCGAGCAGACGTTGTCCCCATGCCCAACAAGATCTCTCGGAAGGCATTCATAAGAGAACGAAGCATGTTTATGACTTTACCATCTTTCTTATGTGTTTCGTCAGTGGTTGGTGAATACCCCTGAGTGAGCGTGGTCTTCTGACGTTCTATGGTTAGCGGACGACTGGGAAGAATAGGTTATTCCTCTGTAGTAATATTTCTCCCCACAGTCTTCTTTGAATTTTTCGGTCCTGTTGCGGCTTAACCTAATGGTGCACCAGTAGAGATGGCGCTCTCGTTTCGAGCTTGTGCAGTCTTTGAGGTCGAACTACGTCGCCGACGCCGCTGCCGACGCCGGACTGTTTCGGCAGCATCCCTGTGGGTCGAATTGCCTCAGACCATTTGCTTAAGCACCACGCGCTCCTTTTGAATTCGAGGGCAGTCTTTAGATGAGGCAGTGTGTGAGCCATTACAGTTACCGCGTTTAAGAAATGTGGATTGACACGCATCTTCCGAATGGTGTTCTGCGCGCCGGGAGCACCATAGTGAGTTCGGGCACCCGCCCTTGACGTGACCTAGTTTAAAGCACTGGTTGCGTTGAAGTGGCTTTTGCACAAAAGGCCGAACAGGATGTCGAAAATGCTCGACTTGGACATGCGATGGGGTGCAGTCGCCTTTGAAGACCAGTTTCCCACAAAGTGACTTCCCAAGGCAGTGTATCTGAGTGATGGCAGTGCCCTCATTTGCCGGTTTAATGAGAGTAGGCAAGTGAGCGTCGGGAATCGTAATGTCTATGTCGTATATCACAACGGCTATGGATGCGTTGTCAATCGGTATAAAGGGGCGCGCTACGATGCCGCCTAGCTCAGCCAGTTGTTTGAGTGGTCCAAGCGCATTCACGTGGAATACGCTTATGGCGAGTATATTTTTTCGCGTATTTACTCTGATGTCCTTGATTTCATTGGGCACCACACGTTCCAAAAAAAGTGGAGAGTGCTTGCCTGTTCAGCAGTCGCAGGTTTCCTGAAGACTCCTCTGGCACGAGGATGATGACGCGTGGCCAGTGTTTATGCCTTGACTTCATAGTCGCTGTAATCGCACAAGTGTGCGAGGCTGCGTTGACGATCTTCTTCTTTGCCCTCTTGCTCCGGACGAGAATGAAATCATCGTCGGATGAGTCGTCTTCCGAGGTGGCTGAGTACAGCTCTGTGTCCTCACTGTCACTGAGTGAAGTTCCTCTCTTTCTCGCGGGGGTCGGCCGAGATGACTGCTGGCCAAGTGGTCCTTCGGAAGGCCCCACGTCCATGGCTACAAGACGTGGAGCCGAGGCACCAGAAAAACCTGATGCTTTCACCGAAAAATTCAGAGAGCACAGAGAGGAGCGCTTGGATACCGGAACACTCGTGGCCCACACTGCAGCACCGGCCGCAGAACGTGCCCAACAACGCTGCCTTCGACGTACACATCATGCGCCAGCTTCTCAACAAGCCTTCTTGCAGAAACGGTCTCGCCAAGAAGCACCCCGTTCACCTCCGAGCAAGCTCCTCTGACACCATTCACTTTGTGCATATGGCGCTGCTTTTCTTTTTCGACTGAACACTGTCTGAGGTCGCGTCAATTTAAACATCAGTGGCACACCTTCACGATGGTATAGTGCGCACCGTCCAGTTATTACCATGGACAGGCGCGCGCATGCTGTTCGGCAGCTCTGCGCATTGTTACGGGTCGTGGCGATCGCTGATGGCATCCTACCGCTGCCACCTCTTGTTATGCGTCGGAAGGAAGGTCGCTGATGGCATCCCACCGCTGCCACCAGTTGTTGCGTGTCGTGCCGACCGCTGTCTACGGGTAGCGGGGCCGGTCGCCGTCGCTCCGTCGAGCCAAGGACTAGGGGAGAGCTTTGAGCAAACTTAACGGATTTATTCACATCTTTACAGTGAGTTGTCGAGATGACAGAAGACAAGAGAAGATCGTTGGGCGAGGCAATGCACGCCCTTTTTGTTGACCCCCGTTCCCTAGGTCCCTAGGTTGGAGATCACTACACAAAACAACGCGGACCAATGGTGATGTGGCAGTTCCTCTCAATGAAGTACCGCCCATCATGTCTGTTAATAGAGGCACAACACAGGCTTGCACATACACACACACCCTAGCCACTAGTCGCAGCGCTGCCGTAGAACAGGGAGGGAGAGAGCGGAAGACGCACTGGCGCCTCGACCCCTTTGGGGCCGGCCTCGGGCTGCGTTCCCACGAGGAGATCTTAGCGCGCCCTTTCGAGAGGTGCCAGGTTCGTGGATTCCTCTGGGGAGAGCCCTTTGACCAGCGCCGTCGTCGTCTGCCGGTTAACGCGCTAACGATGCGTGGCCCAGGCGGGAGATAGAGCGGCGGCTCCTAAACCCTCTTTGGCGACATTCCACCCAGTGGGCGCCGTCTCGTGGAGTCGGCCTCTGTTGCTTCCTCCGTCCAGCCGTGGCGAGACTGTCTTTTTGGCACTAATCCGGCGTGGCGAATGACCCGCTGGGTCAAGGCATAGCTTGATCACTACAGCATATATGCGTGCCTGTCCATGGTGATAAGTGGATGTTGCGCACTATACCATCGCGAAGGCTTGCCGCTATTCGGGTTTCATTTGGAAAGGATCGTACATAAACGTTCTATCATGACTGCTTTTGCGGCCTTTTGAATGGTAAATAGTTTACCCAACCAATAACTACTTTTGTGCTGTCGAACGTTTGATTTCCTTTTATCTTTCGTATATTGTATGCATCGCCTGTAAATCTCGGCGTTCATAGCTTTGAATTGCGTTTAACGCATTTCCTGTAACTTTCGATCGCAGAACATCGAAGAGCTGGTCGACAAGACGGTTCCATCAGGCATCCGACTCAACCGGGACATGAAATTGGACCCACCTCTCAGTAAGACCGCATTTTTTTTTTTACGCTTGGACTTTCTAGCAGCTTAATATATGAACAGTATCAAGTCCTTTCATGAGTGGCTTGTCTATCTAAGTACGGGAGCTGCAGCGTTGTGTAGCGAATAAGCTATCGGCATTAGTTTGAAACGCTCAGCGGATTTCATGCTTGACGGTTGTCCCGCCCGTGATGTCCTCTCTTCGAAGAGCACTCGCCGATCTGGGCCCGTCCGCGGTCTTCTGGAACTTATGGTGACCCCGCTCCTAACTGCAGCGGACGATCACCGCGGGTTCACGCTTAGCCAGCCACAGGGCTGCTACTCCGTTCACTCGCGTGTAGCGCACCGCTCCACGCGCGCTCAACTGATAAGGCGTTTAGCGCGGCGCGGCAAATAGACAGTGTTCTAATGTAACAGTACACAACACTTTATTGCCTCTGGCGGCACCCCGAACAACAGCACAACGTCCGCTCCCGGGACGCGGGTAGCAAAGGCACCCGCACGCGGACGTTCACAATAAGGGGAAAACCGCGAGCACGTCGCAGCTGGCAATGGCGAGCTTTGACACGCCGGTCGGGAAAAGGTCCCTCGCGGCTATGCTGCGCACTCTCACGATGGCCACTGGGCCTGGTCGCGAGTGTTAGGGCAAACCTCGTACACGTAGGCCTAACGCAAGTGCGGCTCGTTGTGGTACGACCACTTCAAGCACTAGGCACCGCTCTGGGCTTAGCGTACGCTACCGAAGCTAGCACTCAAGTAAACACGCCTGCCGGGGTGTCCAAGGTCACCCCAGGCAGGCTACCGTCCGCGATTCCCAAAGGGGACGCGGACGAGGGAAAACACGTGCTTACCCGGCGCTGTCCACGGAACAAGAGACCGCTTCCTCGGCGCGCACAGTGGCGCGCGCCATGCCCGCGCGTGGCGCCATCTATCGCCACGTCATGTCAACAGAGCAGGGAAGCAAAAGGGTGTGGCCGTGCGGCGGAATGCCCGCGAAATGGTCGCAGGCGCGCCTCAGATCCCCACATCCTCCTCTCCTTAATTCACCCTATATACCGGTCTGCAAAGGCAGCCGGTCGTCGCCCATGCATGCAAAGGCGTCATGCAATGGGCAACAGCTAGCCTCAGCCTCGCTCTGCAACTGCTGCTGAAGAAAAAAAAAATAAACAACACAAGAATACACTTGACAAATACAAGGGCTCCGCGGAAGAGGGGTAACAGGAGTTCATGATGCTCACGCAAGAGCGCGTTCACGGCTCGGAGGGGCAGCGTCACGTAATGTCTGACTTGGGTGATTGCGTGGATGCGAGAGTTCAAGGGGAGGGTCCTGGTTGAGGCCTTCATGCGAGGAACGGGCTCACCTTCGTCTCGTCGATGTTGACGACAGCCCTGCGAGTCCGACGAATGCCGCCTTGGTGGAGGTTCGGATGGACATCGCTGCGACAGCCGGCCCTTCTGTTGGAATAATGGTCGCCAAATATACTGGCTTCGGCGTCGGTCGAGTTGTGCAGAGCGTCTGCGACAGATGGCCTCGTGCAGGTCTCCGAACACCTCCAGAGTCCAAAGTGGTGTAGGGGTCGGTGACTTCCTAAGTTGTCGCCACACGCACACACACACACGCACACACACCTCCGATGGTCGGGTCTCTCCAAACGCGCACCGCAAGGGAAGCGCAGAGTGTCATTTGTCCCTCTCCCCACGCTAAAGCACCAATTCAAATCCCCTCCTCCAGCGAGAAGAAAAAAAAAAGAAAACACTGAAAAACATCAAGTAAACAACAACACTCAAATGACAATCAGCAGCAGTAACTGGGCGGAACAGACTTCTTTGCAAGCACTGGCTGTAAATAAGTTAGCTAACTGAGGCTAGAAAGTTGAAATGAGGGCCTTCGGTTGCGGAAATAAGCCCGCCGTCCGGCGCGAAATCACTAAGGTGACCGCTTCCTCAGATTATACCGGTGCGTGGTCCGAATGCGGTCCGCTGCGCCGGGTGTGCGCCGTTGCTTGCGCGAAGAGCCACTGGGCGCTGGCGCAGGCTCGTCAGACCTCGACGCAAAGGCTTTCAGGTCTGCGATATGGGCACGGCTGAGTTTTCCCGAAAGCGGGTCTTTCAGCAAGTACGCGAGTGGAGTCCAAGCTTTTTCCACTCGGTACGGACCAAGCCACTTTGGAGCGAGCGAAGTTGAGAAACCCTTGCTCGCGTCGCTAAGGGCGTGGTTGCGCTTCAGGACGAGGTCACCCACCTTAAATGAAAGGTGGCGACGTTTTCGGTCGTACTGGGCCTTTTGCTCGGCCCTGGCCGATGCCAAACTTTGCCTTGCTCTACTGAGAGCTCGACAAAGCCTGTCCCGAAGTGTGGAAGCGTAAGCAGAACAGTCTGCCGGTTCTTCCTCGTCTCCGAGCTGGCATTGCATGACACTGGTCACCGGATTTGCCAACTCCCTTCCGAAATTAAGGAAGGCGGGAGAGAAACCAGTAGAGCGACTCTCGGAGGTTCGGATTGCAAACGCGAGTTCACTCAAATGGTCTGCCCAGTCCCTTTGACTTTCGGCAAAGGCCGCCAACATCGGTTTGAGCGTACGATTGGTTCGCTCCGTCAAATTGGACTGGGGATGGTAGGGCGAAGTGGTGCAGTGATCTATTCCTAGGGAACGGCACGTATTACCAAACACCCGAGCGGTGAAATACGACGCATTGTCCGTGATCAATCTTTTCGGAAAGCCGAACCGACAAAACACTTCCTGTAGCCTCTCTAGCACCGCTCGCGCTGTCACTTTCCGCAGCGGAAACAGCTCCACCCATTTGGAAAAATGATCAACAACTACCATCAGATGTATGAACCCCTGCTTACTCCTGGGGAACGGCCCCATTAGATCGCAGGTGGCTACTTGCCACGGACGCTCACTGACAGTCGGTTTCATCAAGCCGGGCGGCTTGCCACCTCTTGATTTCACCGTTTGACAGACGTGGCAGGAACGGCAATAGCGCAAAATGTCACGCCTTACGCCAAGCCAAGTCACCCCCTTGCTCAGTTTCGCAAACTTTAGAGCCACTCAGGTGACCGGCAATGGGCTCGTCATGAGAGGCTCGCAACAGTGCGGCTCTCAGACTTTTGGGCATAAACACCTTAAACGGGTCTATGAACTCGTCGTAAGTGACTATATACTTCAGCAGGAGCCCGTCATGGTCCAGCAAAATGAATCCGCCGGGGACTCAGCGACACACGCTGTTTCAGCCCCCTAATCGCGCCCGCCGCAGAACAAGCAGCGTAACGGCGCGCCTCTCAAGACGGTTTAACGGCGCCCGCCGCAAAACAAGCAGCGTATACGGCGCTCCGTCCCTCCGAGACTCGAAACGGATCACTCTGCTGAGCCTTCAGTGGCTCTTCGCTGCCGAAAGCAACTCCCATTCTCCCAAATGGGGGAGTCTGGTATCGCGCCCCCTCAGGACCGCAGCAACCGCCGCGTGCACGGCGTCACGGGTTCGCTCTCGGCACGGTGGCCTTCGGAAAGTTCCCCCCGCTCGGCCGCTACGCAGTGCGCCGCTTCCTGGATAGCAGCCAAGGTCGTCCTCAAGGGGACTCCCCCTTTTCGCCGCTGTTTCGCCCCCCCGACGCTTGCCAGTGCTAAGGCACCGCGAGCGGCCGTCGCACCGGAAGCCAGGTTCTCGGCCGACAACAGGGGCACGAGATAGCGCGTCAGCTACCACGTCGGAGTGTATTCACCACAAAAAGGGGTGACGACACAGGCGAGCGCCGAAGGGCGCCCGTCGATAGAGGCGGTGGCCTCTTTGTGCAACGCGGCATGCCACGGAGCAGACATGTTGCGACGAGCCCGAATCGCGCAGGCGAACTGGCTCGCTAAGACTAACCAAAGGCTTAATGAGCCCTTGATACCGCGTTGGGTACCAGGCTGCTAGGTTGCACAGCAGCCAGCGGGCAAAATTCGGCAACGGCTGAGGCCGCGGTGCCGATCTGCGCCCCGGAAGCTCCACTTAGAGCCGTTTCGGAGCGCTGTGACATGGAACTGCCATGCATTCCAAAGGGAGCAGTGGTAGTCCAATTTGCCCTTGTGCACTGTTCGGGTTGGGCTATGGCCCCGGACCCAAAACACGCTACCTCTCCAGTGGGAGCTGATACGTAGCGCCTCGTGTCATCCCGACTGGGGCTTGTGACAAGTGAGGGTGCGCGATTGTGATGCTCAAGGGGCACTGGCCCTGTTCTCGAGCAATGCGGTATCTGCTAAACGCGTCAGCGGACAGAACTCACGCGGAGCAGACATAACGCGGGTAAACGCGGCGAGCCTGATTCGCAAAGGCGGCCGACTCGGCTAAGACTAATCAAAGGCTTAATGAGCCTTTGATACCGCGTTGGGCGCCAGTATGGTGACCCCGCTCCTAACTGCAGCGGACGATCACCGCGGGTTCACGCTTAGCCAGCCACAGGGCTGCTACTCCGTTCACTCGCGTGTAGCGCACCGCTCCACGCGCGCTCAACTGATAAGGCGTTTAGCGCGGCGCGGCAAATAGACAGTGTTCTAATGTAACAGTACACAACACTTTATTGCCTCTGGCGGCACCCCGAACAACAGCACAACGTCCGCTCCCGGGACGCGGGTAGCAAAGGCACCCGCACGCGGACGTTCACAATAAGGGGAAAACCGCGAGCACGTCGCAGCTGGCAATGGCGAGCTTTGACACGCCGGTCGGGAAAAGGTCCCTCGCGGCTATGCTGCGCACTCTCACGATGGCCACTGGGCCTGGTCGCGAGTGTTAGGGCAAACCTCGTACACGTAGGCCTAACGCAAGTGCGGCTCGTTGTGGTACGACCACTTCAAGCACTAGGCACCGCTCTGGGCTTAGCGTACGCTACCGAAGCTAGCACTCAAGTAAACACGCCTGCCGGGGTGTCCAAGGTCACCCCAGGCAGGCTACCGTCCGCGATTCCCAAAGGGGACGCGGACGAGGGAAAACACGTGCTTACCCGGCGCTGTCCACGGAACAAGAGA